CTTTTCATAACATTCAAACTCATTTTTATACTTTATTAATCTATTGAACTTTATTAAACTTTTAAATTTAGTTGTTACTTCCTACTTAATTTTAGTTTTAACCATTGCAAACATATCGACATTGTTCTCCTATCATATTTATCTACAATTTAGAAAGAAATTTTTCAAGTTGATATTAAGAGTTACAGCTTTCCCCATGGGATCGATACTGGAATTTTTAAGGAAAATCCTATATTTACTTAAAACGATATGCATTCTTGCGTATTTCCCCTAGTACGAAAACTTATCATTTATTTTCCAAATCATTTCATTTATTCACACTAGCCGCTAAATATATTTTGAGACAAGTTTTTGGAAATTTTAAGAAATATAAATATTGTAATTGCGAGTCGGGTCATGAAGCTCTGGAGAGTTGTTTGGGAAAGGTTTTGTCGGGGCTTTGTCAGTGATGAGGTTGATTCTCCTTTGAACTAGAGAATGAGCTTGGTTTATAGACTCAGCTAGGGTAGAGGCGCTGCTCTCATTGGCCTGTTGCATTTGTCGTAGATTGTTGAAGTGGTGCTGAGTCAATTAAGAACAACTGGTAAAGATGAGCCAAGTGTGACAAGCCTCCAATGAAGATGCGTCATGTTGGATTTCAGGTCATGGCGAGCTTGGGCAAAAAAAACATGGACACGGGTTGGCACATGTGCCCACTGCTTCTTGTTGTTGGGTTGGTTAAGGGAATTAGTTGAGGAGGTTTTGGGGAGAGTCGATGGGAATATGCCATGTGGGAAGGCAGCAACCAAGTGAAACTTCTACAATTGGCTTGTATTGGCTCACATGGACTTAGATCAAGCTCACAAGAATATGACTTGGTCTTGCTGATTTGGCTCAAACGAACCAGCAAGACGGTTGGCTCAATGAAGAGCCAAAATCAATTTAATGAAAATGTTTCATAATAGGTTTGAATGTGGTTCAATGTTAAGTTCAAGTATAGTTCAATTTAGTTTTTAAGTTGGCTTTTAGATCAACCTAAATTAGGTTCAAAAATAAGTTAAATCAATGCTGAAATGTCATGGATAAGCTCAACACAAAGAGCGACTTAAGAAGGTAGTAAATTGAAAAGGTATTAAATTGATTTTGAAATGTAGCTTGAAGGTGGCATCAAACTAGTGTCAAAATGGGTTTAATTTGATTCAAACTTGGGTTCAAATGAATTTATAATTAATTCCAACATGATTGGTTCATTAAATGGATTATAGGTATGAAGAGAATGACCAAGAAAGAAACCAAAGGATTAGGTGTAAATTTGGGGATATTTAATAAGTGAAGGGTGTATATTTGTGTGAGATTTAAGCGTTTGTATTATTATATTTTTATATCTTTTATATTTTATGGATCTATTAAATTTTATTTTGAAATTTTCAAGATTGTATTTATAGATTATTGAAAGACTTTTCATTTATGTCAATTTTTATTTAATGACTTAATGATTTTTTTTATTTAAAAAAAATCTTTAATGGTTTTTTTTTTTAAATAGATAGCTATCTTTTTTATCTTAAAGAGTGCTTCGTAATGAAAATGAGCTCCCTACAAGTTAAGAAAAAAGTTATATAAAAGAGAGTGAGAGTGAGTGAAGGAAAGGAGAGTGAAGGGAAGGTGAGTGAAAGTGCACCACTACTAGACCTTAACCCCTAAACTCAAAAGTTTTTCTTAAGGCCTTTCAAACCTATAGAAACCCTGCTTGAGTTTCAATATGTTGGCCTCAATCAACTCGACAAAATTTTGAGGATTTAAAACCAAGCATATGAGACTACAAGTCAAAAAAATGGTTCAATTTATAATTAGTGTGGGTCCCAGCACTAGTCCTCTAGAAGAGTCGCTTGAAAAATCCTAATGCTAGATTCTAGAGAAAGAGATACATTTCATAAAAAATGATGTCAACACCAACAACAAACGCTTATGTTCTATTAAATTTTATTTTGAAAATTTTAAAGATTGTATTTATATATTATTCAAAGATTTTCCATTTAAGTTAAATATGATTTAATGATTTTTTTTATTTTAAAAAATATTCTTTAATGGATTAATTTTTAGAAAGATAGCAACCTTTCTTATCTTAAAGAGTGCTTCATAATCAAAATGAGGTACATAAAAATTAAGAAAAAAAGTTACATAAAACTGAGTGAGAGTGAGTGAAAGTGAGTGAAGGGAAGGTGAGTGAAATTGCACCACTACCAGACCTAAACCCCTAAACTCGGAAGGTTTTCCTAAGCCCTTTCAAACTAATAGGAACTCTACTTGAGTTTCAATATGTTGGTCTTAATTAATTGGACCAAATGTTGAGGATTTAAAACCAAGTATATGAGACTACAAGGAGTCAAAAAAATGGTTCAATTTTTAAGTAGAGTGGGTCCCAACACTAGTCCTCTAGAAGAGTCACTGGAAAAATCCTAAGGCTAGATTCTAGATTCTAAAGAAAGAGACAGACTTCATAAAAAATGAGGTCAACACCAATAACAAACGCTTATGTTTTATATCCAAGGGATTTCCATGGGAATAGCTTTGGATTAAGGTATGGTTTTTTTAATATAAATTTAACAAATTTTATTTATTTTTTCAGTTGAATTTACATGTTAATCACACATGGAATGAACAAAGGGCTAGACATATACAAAAGGAGATATTCAAAGCTATAGAGACAAAATTGATGGTTTACTAGAGAGCCATAAATTCTTAAATTGATGTGCATCACTCAAGGCATTATTATCATATTGAAATAATATTAAAATTTATGCAACTATTAGGTTGTATGACTCAATATGGCCATCAAATTTAGATGTGATTTGTTGAATTATACTTTACTATGGGGACATGTTGCAGGTTCAAGCACCACTTTTAGTTAGCCTTATGTCAACTGAAACTTACCATATCATGTTATGAGACAGTTTGGTGAAGTATAGAGGATCAACGTGAATCCAATGGAGCCTAGCATTTCAAAAGTAGATGGAATGAAAAAGCAAATGTGGATTGGGGGGACTATCATTGTCGATGCATATACTTAAGATAAGTTGGCATGTCATTTGGTCCATCATGGTTAGGATCAGGTAGATAGTGTTATTTATTTACATTGACACAAGTAAATGGCTTCATTATAATTGCTATAAGAACCCACCAAAGCTCCATCTAGACATTATCCTTGATCTACAAACAAGAGGATACTAGTAGCATGACTCTCATTATTAGGAGAGGTTATATAGTTCATCACTCATTCTTATGAATTTACTTGTCAAAACATCAAATTTTTGGATATTAAAGAGGTAGTTCAACCCATATTTAGACATGATGAGGATAGCATAACACTATAGGTAATAAAAAAAATTGAACTTTGCAATGATATGGGGCTTAACATGCACATCAAGAGGATAAGACATGAATGATGATACATTGGAGCCATCCACTGTTGGCGATGCCAACCCATCTATTTATGCAAATTCTAGCCAATCTAGTTTTATGATAAGGTTTGTGGATCCATTTAGCATTACAGTTACAACTTCATAGGATCCACTTGAAATGACAAATACATCATATGAATTTATTGGCCATTATTTTACCACCAAATGAGTGGAATAGATGGGGTGTTTCCATGTTAGTAGTAATTGGCAGTCACAACAATATAATAATTTGCCTTATCATCATTTTGGATTGAGGCCTAGAGTAGCCCCAATCAGTACACTATACCTAGATCAATATTGAATGCCTTCTACAATCAACTTCAATCATGGAGCAATGTAATCAAGTTTCAAGGCCCCAACAATTGAACCAAAAGAATGAAGAGGTGAGACAACAAATCATCTACAAGATAAGCTAGTTTATGCTCCTCAACATTACACACCAGACATAGAAGTTGTACCTTCCAAACATAGCAAAACTAAGCAATAGATGAATTGGCATTATCTTTTTAATGGTTGCACTAGAGATTGTGTTAGTTTGTACTTTATTATACTCTGAGTTAATAAAATCATTCATCTCATCTAATGGATTGAGTCCTTATCTTTTAATGGATATGATGTTATCCATTTTATGTTAGTTTACTTCAATGAATTAACATATTATATTGCTTTCACATATAAAACATAAGAGTTTTGTCATTTTACTGAATAAATTTTGTTCTGGTAGATTTAATATAAACCATAAATTAAACAGAAAAATTCAGCATAATAATTCCTCATTAAAAATGTAAGAAAAAAAATAAAAAGCAACAATTTAAAATTTTAAGTAATACATAAATCTTACAAATTAATATGATAAATTCTAAATGCTAATTTGAATTTTTTTAAGAAAATGCTATTATTTTTAGAAATAAAAAATAAAAACAGGCCAATAACAGATTAAAAAAACATGTTTTTAAAATTAAAAGAAATAAAAAAATAAAAATAAAAAA